CGTAGTAGTAGCAGTAGCAGTAGTAGTAGTAGTAGTAGCAGTAGTAGTAGTAGTATAGTTATTAGTGTTGTTGATCTTAGTATTATTATTATGCCTCCTACCCCTTGACTTTCCATATGGGTTCCGAGGGAGAGCACCTGTATATTCTCAGAGGGGGGAGCCCGCGGTGACCCACGTGGGCTCGAGTCTGCAGAACCCAGAGGGGAGGGGGTCCTGCTGCCCCTCCTGCCCCCCTCCACCTCGCTCTCTCTCTCTCTCTCTCTCTCTCTCGCTCTCTCTCTGTCAGTCTCCTCTCGATCCCCACGTGCGCTCACAGCCGGCAGAGCCCCGCAACGCGGAGGGGGGGGGGGGGGCGGCAGGCGGCGGCCGAGCGGCGCGCGGCGCCGCGGCCAGCCGCGCGGCGGCGGGCGGCCCCGCTCGAGATGCCCGGCGAGGCGTCGGGAGGGCAGGCCTCGCGTGGCCTCGCGGACGGCTTCTCGCCCTCGTCCCCGTCGTCCTCGCCGAGGACGAGAGGGCGAGAGACGACGAGGGCGAGAGACGACGAGGGCGCGAGGGCGCGAGGGGGGGCGACGGCGAGCATCGGGGCCGATTTCTCGCCCCCGATGCCAGAGCCGCCCCCCGCCCCCGAAAAAAACAGGCTGTTTCGAAGAAAAGAATGGGAGCTCGGGGATACACCCCCTGTGGGCTGTTCTCACGCGCGCACCCCCGGGTCGAGGCCGGACGCCCCGCCCCATCGTACATCCCCGAGTCTGGCCCCAGTTATTATTCGTCCAGCAGAGAATTCCACAACGTCAGGGCTTGCGGTCGCGATACCTCCTGTTCTGGGCTGAGTTCCTTGTCGGTGTCACTGGTTCTGTGACCCCGTGGAGCGGCGAAGGCCGGTCGCCCGGCGGCATCCGCCAATTGTTCATGTCGGGCAGCATCGGCGATGGACTTGGTCGAGCCGCTGGCGATGGGGAGGGGCCGTGACTTGGACCCTACAGGGGGGGCGCGCATCAAGAAACCATCTACTTGTCGTCGGGGTACCTTGGGTGTCTTCGCTCCGCAGGCGGCGCGGTGACATCCGCGGCCGTCGGAGAAGCTGCTGCGTTCAGGGTGCTCCGTAGTGTCCCTCAGGTGCGCCTCGCGCGCGGGTTTTCAGGGTTGGGTTTCGTGCGAGGGTTTCTTGCGGCCGCGCCCGCACTGCACTCTGTCCACAAGTGGACCTCAGCAAGCCTCCCGGCGGGCAGCACCGCGTCTTTACCACCGGCACTGTCCCGAGATCGGGCGCATCAGATGGACCCAGCCGCTGGCGACGGGGACGGGCCGTGCCTGGGGCCTTGCTCTGTCCTGAAGTGGACCTGGGCAAGCCTCCCGGCGCGGACCTGCAAAGGGGGGACGCCCGGGCGATGGGCTTCCGGCGACCTGGAATTAACGGGCGAAGAACGGTATAAAAAATAAACTTTTTCGCTGTCGGGGGCGCCTGTCCCTGGGCGGCTGGAAAGTTTATACCCCTACGGTGCCACCGTAGGGGTATAAACTTTCCAGCCGCCCAGGGACAGGCGCCCCCGACAGCGAAAAAGTTGATGTTATACCGTTCTTCGCCCGTTAATGGAAGTCCGACCACTGGTGACGGCCTCCCGCCCAGCGTTGGACGGTCGGGTTGCGAGGACGTCCCCAGAGATCCGACGTCGTGATTGTTTCCATACGGGGCCCCCAGACGTCTCGACTCGACCCATTCCCCAGGACCGGTTCTTCATGCTGAGTCGTGTTTTGACGGTCCCGGGGCCCAGCAGGGGCCCCTAGTGGCCGAGATGTTTTTCTTGTTTTGTTTTTTGTTTAAAGAATGAAAATAAAGAAAAAAAAAAAAAAAAAAAAAAAAAAAAAAAAAAAAAAAAAAAAAAAAAAAAAAAAAAAAAAAACGCTACCACCCCAGCGCGGGCGTTGAAGGGTGAGCGTCGCCAGTGGCTCGCAACCGGCCGATGTCAAGCAACCCGCGCCATCGCGGGGCCGCGATCGCTCGAGGTGGAGCGACCCGCGAGGTGTCAGAAACGAACTCCGAAGTCGTCACGACACTGGCCTTCGGCTAAGGGAGGCGCTCCAGAGAGGCGCTTCGGCGCTAAGGGAGGCGCTCCAGAGAGGCGCTCCGGCGCTACCAGGCGATGGGGCGCGTCGGGGGCGTGACTTCGTTGTGAGCTAAAGGCGGGCTTCGAAGAAGAACCGTCTGACTCTACGTGAGGCGCGTCGGCGCTGTCAGGCGACGGGGCGCGTCGGGAGCGTGGCTTCGTTTTAACTAAGGTCGGGCTTCGAAACAGAGCAATCTGCGTCAAACTAATGTTTCGGAGGTCCGCACGGAGTTCTTGGATCCGCGCTGGATCCCCCTAGCGGCGCCGATCCTGGCACCTTCCGAGCGCTAGAGTGGGAGTGCAGCGCCGATCCCAGAAACCCGCGCGGACCTCCAATAGCTCGAGTAGGGGATCGACCACAGAATTGATTTACCTCAAAATTCATTGGTTCGAAAGATGCGTATAATCTTCGTAGATCCACGAACCTCATACGTACGTTTTCGCAGTTTCGACGAGAAGACCAATTTCGTGGTAAGTCAATGTTGTAGTCGATCCCCTACTCGAAAAGCTAATGTGTATGTGGGGCGTTCCAAAAACGGCCTTGCCTCCGAGGATCGAAGGAGTTGTCATCTCTTCCTCGGCGGAAGGCGGCGAACGGTCGGCGGAAGGAAAACGGGGCCACCTCCGCCGGCGGAAGCTCGGCCAAAGGCTTCGGAAGGAAAAGATGCGCCCCCAAGAGATGACAACGTTTCTGGGTTCAGAAATCGGCCATGCATTGCCTCTTCCTGGGACCCGGTGAGTGGTAGGGCCCCAGAGCCCTTAAAAAATTGGCCAGAGTCACTAAACCAGGTTTGCCGTAACTGGTTTTTTTTCGGGTGACGGCAGTTCCGGTTTGTGGAACGGAGCGGGGGGGCGTCCCCCAGTACACATCACTAATTTCAGGAGGGGGAAAAAAAAGCACAGACACAATGAATCGTCGATCCCCCAGAAAATATGGGAAAATATGGGACGTGGCGGGGAAAACAGGAACCCAGAAAATACAGGAACATATACGGGGAACCTTTTGATTTCTGTGTGTATCTATCTGTGTGTCCCAGGGCCCCTTCATAAGCCAGGTGCCACTAAGCCCAGTTCTGCCAACGCCCGACAGATGGGGGGGGCCCTGGCGTGCGGGCCTCGGGCCCGCGCCTCCCTTTGCCCGCTGCTGCGGCTCCGTGGCGGGGCCCCCGCGCGCCCCGCTGCCCCCTCAGGCTCGTGCCGCGGCCTCGGCAGTGGCAGCCTGGCGGGGCCCCTGCGCCCCTGCAGCACGTCCTCCAGGCGAACCTCGAGGGCTGCAGCCGGGCGAACCCTCAGCGGGCCGCGTCCCTCTACAGGAGAGAAATCTTCGAGAACGGTTTCACAACATAGTTTTGGGGGTCGATGTTTGATTGTTTTAGGTTATCAAGTTCTGGGGATATGTTTTATGCTCCTTCCAGAACCTGCCTACCGGAGGACATGCTCCTCCCGTCGAACCTCGAGGGTTGCAGTCGGGTGAACCCTCAGTCGGCCACGCCCCTCTACAGGAGAAATATTCCAAAAATGGTCAAAAAATAGGCTGGGGACGGTTTTTTTGATTATTTTTGACGATTTAAGAATATATTGGGGCTGCGTTTGATTCCAGAATCCGCCCGTAGGAGGATACGCCCGACCTACGGTTAACCGCGGTGGCAGCGGCGAGCAAGAGCAGCGAAGGCCAGGACGAGGGCGAGGAGTCCAAGAGCAAGCAGGGAGGGCACCCGAGGGAGCGCGAGGTGGAGCAGGAGGACAGCATGGCAGGGAGCGGGAGGGGGTGTGGAGGTGGAGCAGGAGGAGATAGGGGATCGGCGGCGGCGGGTGTGGTTACCAGGAGCCGTGGGTGCCTCGTCAGGACCTGCTGAGAATTGATCGGAGCGGTGCCCGATACGTTGACGAGGACGGCAGCGAGCACCAGGGCGCTAAAAACGAAGCGGTCGCCGCATTCGCAGATGGCATCCGATCTAGATGCGCTTGCAGCAATGATGGCTAGGTGCGCTGGAAAGGACGGCCAAGGGTGCATCGGCGGTTGTTGAATCCGCGAGGGGATCATGGAACAGCATCAGCCAGCATGGTCACCTTCGGACTGGAGTCAGGGTCGGCGGTCTGCCCGCGCATGCCTTCATCACGGCGATCATGGAGATGGATAGCAACATCACGGAGCTTGAGGCCGCATGTGCGTGAACGTCTCTCTCGTCCGACCCACACTTGCTGCGCCGCTGCCATGAACCGTTCCCCAGCGATGTGGCCGTCATATAATTTCATCTGTCGCTTCGAAATATCAGTGAAGCCCGTCGCTCCAGGGTGGAAGGAAGGGAAGGGGTGGGGGGAAAGGGAAGGGAGGGGAGGAGAGGGGAGTGAGGGAAAGACGGACGAGGAGGAAGATAAGGGGAAGGAGAAGGCGGAGGAGGAGGAGGAGGAGGAGCAGCACGATGAGCGGGGGGAGCGAGAAGGGGGCGAGAAGGAGGGGGTGAAGAGGAAAGAGCGAATTGGCTGCGTGGAGATTAGCGAGTAACCCAAGTGGGGTATTTTTGTGGATTTTCAGGCCAGACGGGGCCAGGTGTCATCGGTGGTCACGTTCATGGGCGTCTGCATGGCCATCATCATCATCGTCACCATTGTCATTGTGATCATCACCCGGAGCCGAATAGGCTCTACCGCGGTTCCGGTCTTACGGTGGCCCTCTCGCCACATCGGACGCCATTTTTGTTTGTCATGCTCCAGGTCGCGCACGCGTGATATAATTGTGGGAAATCTGCTGTTACTATTTTTGTTCGTGGACAGGTGTGACAAGTCTGGTGTTCCTGAGATTGATTATGCAAACGCCCTGTGCAGAGTGCAGCTAATGATTTCGTGTTGCTCATTTCGTCTCAGAGCGGCACTGGGTTGCGCCCGCCGTTGGCCTTCCCATACGAAGGTTAACCTATCTGGTGGCAGGCGGCTCTGGACACCGTTGCCTTCGTTCGTCAGCTCCTGGAGGGGGCCGCCAAGCGGACCAACATTCAGCGAGGCCCTTGCAGCACGCGGCGCACAGGCAGATGCAGATCCTTCCGCGCGGCATTATACATATGCGGTGCGAGGGCGGCAGACAGGACTTTGGTACATCGGTTCCAGAAAATGTCCCGAAAATGTTTCTTCACCGGAAGCGGACACGCAATACATGGGGTCCCCAAGCGATCCACAGTTCAAGCGAGAGCATAAGTGGAAGCTTATCTGATTGCCTTCGGCCCACGCTGCGAGCGTGCCTGGGGTGTGGGCCATTGGCCTCTTAGGATGATCGTTGGGATGTCGCGAAGGGCCTCGTGGGGGCCGCTTGGGGGTCTTTGTTGAGCCGTGTTGGGGCTTGCTGGGGCGTCCTGGGGGCCCTTGGGGGCCTCTTGGGGCCTCTTGTAGGCATCTTGGCGCCTCCTACAGATGGATTTTGTTGAGCGCGTGACGCTGAAAAAAGATCAAGGGCGTCCAGACCAAGACGCTACAGAATAGCTCCAGGAGCGCGCCCAGCGATGAACACCAGCCAGGCGACGTAAGATTCCAGAGGCACCACAGTCGGCCAAGCGATCAGCACGCTCGTTCAGAAATTGCTCCGTGTGACTCTCAACCTTCCTAAAGACAACATGATAAACAACCTGATCAAAGAGATAGCGAAGCCGCAGAACAAGCTGAAGGTTCGCCCGCCCTCGGATGTGCCGCTGCGCCACGCCAGCCGCATATTGCGAGTCATATTTGATGACGAACGATGGTGATGAAGGTGATGATGTAAAAAACAACCACTCAAGACAGAAAAATATAGCGCCGATAATTCACCAACACATCGGTGCGCACGCGCGCGCACGCGCACGCACGCGCACGCGCTCATGATAGGGCTCGGGCCCGGGCTCGGTCTAAAGCTGGCGGTCGGGGTCGGGGTCGGGCTCGCGCTCGGGCTCGGGTTCGCGCTCGCGCTCGCGCCCGAGCTTGCGCACGCGCGCGCACACGAAACGCACACGAACGCGCGCGCGCACGAGCGCACGAACGCGAACGAACGCGCACACGCGCACGTACGAGCGCACGCGCACGCTCGCGCGCGCACACACGCGCACGCGCACGCGCACGGACTGCCCCAGTTTGAGAGCGAGGTGTTACTACAATGGTTGGACCCCCACCCTTGAGCGCGGCACCCCCCTATCCCAAACTTATTCATATGTTTTGAATATTACAGGTGGTGTGGTTCCAGCGCCTCAGTTTTACAAAAAACATGGTACAGCAGATTATGCCATCAAGAAGGGTGGGCTCCAGCATTCAATGTGTACCAGGGGCACTGGTTCCAGCAGCCCACGGCGTGGGTTCTAGCACCCAATTTCGACGAGAGGAAGTCGTTCCAGCAGATTATGCCGCCAAGACGGGTGGATTGCAGCACCCACTTGTTACGAAGGGTTACGGTTCCGCGTGGGCTCCAGCGTTTGACGAGGGACAGCGGTTTTGGCAGATTACCGATGAGTCAGGCGGCTGTCGTCTGAAAAGGAGGTTAGGGCGACCCGCGTCCCAGCCACGAATTTCCTTACAGTCCGTCAAAATTTGCACCTGAAAAATATTCACCGAACTGACAAGTCAGGTGAATATTGTTGGTGGTGAAATTGTTTGGGGCGCATGTTAACATATCGGAAGCGCGTGCGCACGCACACGCACGCGCACGCGCACGCGCACGCGCCCGCGCGCGCACGCGCTCATGATGGGGCTCGGGCCCAGGCTCCGTCTCAAGTCGCCACTCGGGGTCGGGGCCGGGTTCGCGCTCAGGCGCGGGCTCGCACTTGCGCCCGAGCTTGCGCGCGCGCACACGCACGGAAGCGCACAAACTCGCGCGAACTCGCACGAAAGCGCGCGAACGCGCACACGCGCACGCTCGCGCGCAAGCGCACACGCGCGCACGCGCGCACGCACACGCGGACTGCACCCTAAACCCTAAACGGGGGCGTGGCCCCAGCGCCCAATTTTAGCAGGGAACGTGGCTCCAACTGATTATGCCGTCAAGAAGGGTAAGCTCCAGCATTTGTTTACGAGGGGCAGTGGCTCCAGCAGCCCACGGCGTGGGCTCCAGCACCCAATTCTGACGAGGGACAGTCGCTCCGGCAAAGTGTGCCGCCGGGAAGGCTGGGATCCAGCACCCAACGTTTACGAAGGGCGCTGGTTCCTGCGGTCTACAAAGATAGCTCGGGCGACCCGCGCCCCAGCCACGGATCCTCCTACAGCCCGTCAGCTATTTCACCAGCAACATATGCACCTAATTGTATGAGGTTTCTTGAGGTCCTTCCGGGCGGAAGATTCGAAAAATTATAGGAGCATCAATGCTTGTAGCCTCTCTGGGCCCTCCTGGGAAGGTGGCTTGTGGGGCTCTCTGCTGGGGCGCCTGGAGGGCTTCTTGGACGGCCTTGGTGCCATCTTGGGCGTCTTGGACCGCGCAGCGGTCCAAGGCCACCTTGGACCGTCTGGGGGGGGCCTCTCGGGGCCCTCGAGGACCCGCTTCAGGGACCTCCTTGGGCCCGAAGAGAAGGTCACGCGAGAGGCCGCGACTGGCCCCAGGGGGCACGCGCCGCGCCCCAGAGGGGTTGGCGATTGGAGAGTCTGGGCCCCTTTTAGGGCATCCTCAGCATTGAAGACTGGGGCTTCAGGGCCTGGGGACACTCCACCTCGTGCCACGCCGCAGGGGCGCGGCGGCGGATACTGACGAGGCACGGCACCCATGCGGATGCTCTGGAGGCGGAGTGTTTTCTCCATGGATTCTACGACGTTGTCGTGAACAGCGAGTTCGCCAACCGGGCAAGGCAGACCTCAATAGGATTCAGCCGCCAGGGGTTGCAGCACATTGAGGAGGCAAAGCAAAGGATGAGCGAGGCTCGACGAGGAAAGCCTCGCAGCGAGGAGACGAAGCAAAAGATCAGCGACGCTCGACGAGGAAAGCCCCTGAGTGAGGAGACGAAGCAAAAGATGAGCAAGGCTCGGCGAGGAAAGCCCCGCGAGGATCTACGAGGAAAGCCGCTCAATGAGGAGACGAAGCAAAAGATTAGCAAGGCTCGGCGAGGAAAGCCCCTGAGCGAAGAAACGAAGCAAAAAATCAGCGACGCTCTACGAGGAAAGCCCGTCAGTGAGGAGACGAAGCAAAAGATTAGCGAGGCTCGGCGAGGAAAGCCCCGCGAGGATCTACGAGGAAAGCCATTGAGTGAAGAGACGAAGCAAAAGATTCGCGAGGCTCGGCGAGGAAAGCCCCTGAGTGAGGAGACGAAGCAAAGGATAAGCGAGGCTCGGCGAGGAAAGCCCCTGAGCGAGGAGACGAAGCAAAGGATAAGCGAGGCTCGGCGAGGAAAGCCCCTGAGCGAGGAGACGAAGCAAAGGATAAGCGACGCTCTACGAGGAAAGCCCCTCATTGAGGAGACGAAGCAAAAGATGAGCGAGGCCCGGCGAGGAAAGCCCCGGAGTGAGGAGACGAAGCAAAGGATAAGCGAGGCTCGGCGAGGAAAGCCCCGCGAGGATCTACGAGGAAAGCCCCGCAGTGAGGAGACGAAGCAAAAGATCGGCGACGCTCTACGAGGAAAGCCCCTCAGTGAGGAGACGAAGCAAAAGATGAGCGAGGCTCGGCGAGGAAAGCCCCGCGGGCATCTGCGAGGGAAGCCACTCGGCGAGGAGACGAAGCAAACGATCAGCGAGGCTCTACGAGGAAAGCCCCGCGAGGATCTATGAGGAAAGCCTCGCAGTGATGAGACGAAGCCAAAGATTGACAATGCTCGGCGAGGAACGCCCTGCTGTGAGGAGATGAAGCAACAGTTAAGCTATGCTAACAGTGTGGGCCGAAACTTTTTTCGGAAAGCACCACATTGTAGAGACGAAGCGAAAGATGAGGGAGGCTGTTCGAGAAAAGCTCCGCAGTGAGGAGACGAAGCAGAACATCAGCGAAGATCTAAGATCAAAGCCCGGCAGTAAAAAGACTGAGTACAACATTGGCGAGGCGAAGCGTTGGAGCCGTCGCCCCCTTTTCGGAAAGCACCACAGAAGAGGCACAGCGAACCACTAGTGAAAGTCAGCGCGGGAAGTTTTGCAGTCAGGATACGAAGTGAGATACTAGCAAGGACGTGGCCAGGAATTGGCGAAGCGAGATAGATGCGAGGCTACGAGCAGGGACCAGCGTCATTTCTGCAAGGAATGTAGCATATTACGGAGACAATGCTACAAGCAGGGAAGGCTTTGCGAGGTAATCGGCGCCGTCTCATGGGGAAGCGCCACTGTTCTGAGGCAGAGCAAAGGACAAACCCTGTAGTCGCAGGGGCTAAAATCGTCCCTTCGGCAGGTGGCACGTGGAGGAGATGAAGGATGAGCTGGCCCAGGCGAGCCGAGTTTGAGGGCCATGCCGACGAGACAACGCAGAAGGACAGGATGAAGAACAACATCGGATACACCGAGGAGGCTGATTGGACGTTGAGAAAGGGTGAAGTCTAGTACCAGACTCACATGACGGCTTGCCCCAGAGAGAGGTAATAACCTGGCCCGACGTGGACTTCTTTTCACATGTCGACAAAACAATTGGTGGGAGGCGTGGGGGCGATTGGTTGGCCAGCTCTCGTGTTCATTCGGCACCAAGAGTAAGCTCGAGTCTCGCCCAACAGAACGCCGACGTTTTGCCCAGCCTTGACATCAAACTTCCGGCTGATACAATATCTGATACTATGACTTGGTTCGATTTTCCATATTACTAAAGCAGATTCCGTGGGGATGTTTCTAGCTCTGCATTCGGGCTCCTGTGCGGGCTGGTCCGTGTTCTTTCCGTCGCGTTGCAGTGCATTAGTTTTTGTGTTGTTTTGCAATGGCCTTACGGCCCGTGCCGCCGACCATGAAGACGACGAAGATGAAAGGGAGGGGGGGCAGGGGGAGGAGGAGGAGCGGCAGGAGGAGGAGGAAGGGGTGCGTCGGTCGATGATTCTCGTCTGTTGTCTGCTTTCGCTGCGGCTTATCCTGCCTGAGTGAGGGGTGAGGATGAGGAGGAGAAGGGAGAGGAGGGATAGTAGGAGGAGAAAGAGGAGGGACAAAGAGGAGGAGGAGGAAAAGAAGGAGGATGAAGAGAAGGACGAGGAATAGGAAGAAGAGGGAGGTCAGTAGGAGGAGGAGGAGAATCAGGAAGAAGAGGAGGACTGAAAAAATGATGAGGAAAAGGAGAAGAAGGAGAATGAGGAGGATGGAGAGGAGGAGAGGAAGGCGGAGGAGGAGGAGGACAAGTAGAAGGAGCAGGAGGAGGAAGAGGAGGGGGACAGCTGAGGAGGAGGAGGAGGAGGAGGAGGAGGGAGAGGAGGAGGAGGAGGGGAAGAGCCTCTTGGAGCCTTCGTGGGGGTGTTCTTGGAGAGCTCCTGGGACGTCTAGGAGGCTTCTTGGATCGTCTTGGGGCCATCTTGGCCGCGTTGGGCCGATCTTTGAGCGACACGGGGCTCTTGTGGGCAATTTTGGGAGCCATCTTCGGCATTCTGGGTTCTTTTTGGGGTTGTTCGATATGTCAGGGCCGCCGGGGGGAAGACGAATCTGGGTGGCGACCCCCCCCCCAGGACCCCCCCCCGCGGGGAAGGGATCAAAGGAAAGGGGCGTCCCTTCGACTCCAATACGACGTTGTACAATTTCGCTTTGGATGGCACGCCTGAGGAGGGCCCAGGGAAAGGGACGGGACGGATACGGCGAGGGAACGACGAGGGAACGACGGAGACGAGAACTCGAACGGAGAAGCCCCTCGCACACGCCGACAGGGTCGGCGGATTTCTCATATGGGTAAGTCTGAGAAGTCGCTGCTTGAGCGAAGTAGCGCTGTTGGTGACCAGCCCAATGCCCCAATGTGACAAATTAGTTGTCCCTCATCCACCGCTTGCCCCTGAACGTGTTTTAATGTTACAGTATGCGAGTAGCATCAGATACTCAAACCGCTTCTAGGCGCGACTGCCATTCTTTTCCGACCGCATGAGTCTCCCCGACTGGCGGGGCTCCAGGGTTCGTAGTGCTCCAAGACATCTAACGGAACTTGAAGGGATTCTACATGTCTTGCCGTCTAGGAGTGGGAAAACCAGGCATGCAAATGATAGCGTCTCGTATTGCCCTCCGTTCCCCAGCCCTCCTCTCCCCCCTTCCCCACCTTTTCTTCCCTCCGCGTGCCCCAATCGACGCCCCGCTCCTCGTGCGCAGGCAGCCTTGCTCGGCCGTCCGCCCTCATCGCGCGAGGTCGTGTGAGCGCGCGCGCAGCTGTGCACGCGCGCATGCAGCAGCAGCAGCAGCAGCAGCAGCAGCAGCAAGAGCAGGAGCAGCAGCAGCAGCAGCAGCAGCAGCAGCAGCAGCAGCAGAGGCTGCATCCCCCCTCCTCCTCCTCCTCCTCCTCCTCCTCCTCCTCCTCCTCCTCCTCCTCCTCCTCCTTCTCCTCCTCCTCCTCCTGCGCACGAAGCAAGCGCGCATGGGGTCCGACCCCCACGAACGCCCGAAGGATGGGGCTTTGCCCACCCCGCGACCCCCTAGAGCTAGGGGCCGCCACGCCGACGAGGCGAGAGGCAGGAAGAAGAGAGAGCGAGGAGGAGGGGAAAAAAGGAGGCGCCGGCCTCACACGTGCTGCTCGTTGAGCAGCACTGACCACCGATGGTGGCCAGCCCCCATGCCTCCCTGGCTCTACCTGCACCAGGGGCCACAGGCTACCCCACGTCGCCGTGCGGGGCACACGGCGCGTGTTACCGCGCATGGGTAGCCAGGCCTGCTCCCCCCAGTCCCCTTGCCCAAGGGGGACAGAGCAGGACACCCCGCGAGCCTGGCCGAAGCCAGACCCCCCCTCCACACCCTGGCGCGACCGGGGAGTCGCCGGGCCAAGACAGTGGAGGGGACCCGATTCGGCCGCAGCCGAATCGGGATTACCATTTGGGTCCGAAGACCGGGGTCGGTGCCCCCACTGCCGAAACCACCCACCCACCCACGGCTATGCCGTGGGTGGGTGGGTGGTTTCGGCAGCGGCGCAGCCCCCACACAGGCCACGACTGAGCGGGTTTCAGTTCCCCTGGACGCCGGCAGGTGCCGCCCACACCAACCGGCAGCCCGCCCGGGGGCTCCTCCTCCTCCTCCTCCTCCTCTCCTCCTCCTCCTCCTCCTCCTCCCTCCTCCTCCTCCTCCTCCTCCTCCTCCTCCTCCTCGCTCCTCCTCCTCCTCCTCCTCCTCCGCCTCCCTCCTCCGCCTCCCTCCTCCTCCTCCTCCCTCCTCCTCCTCCTCCTCCTCCTCGCCTCCTCCTCCTCCTCCTCCTCCTCCTCCTCCTCCTCCTCCTCCTCCTCCTCCTCCTCCTCCTCCTCCTCCTCCTCCTCCTCCTCCTCCCAGCGTTCGGCACGCGCGCCACGCACGTGCTCTTGCGACGGCAGCGCGCGCGCTGTGGAGAGCCAGCGCGGCGGCGGCGGCGGCACGATGCTCGCACGCCCGCGGGCGTGCGGCATCGCCCGCCGCGTCCAGATTTTGCCCCCCTGGACGGCGCGGGGCCCGCTTCCAGCCTGTGGGTGCGTCCCCCCGCCGACGCGCGGGGGAGAGAGAGATACCAGTTGCGTTCAGCCTCGGGGGGCAAAGGGAAGGGGGGGGGCACTCGCTCTCAACGGTCCGCCGCCGACTACCTGACCTGGACCTACCCTGAACCTTCAGGCGTCGCGAACAAAAACTGTTTTTGCGTCGGCGGCTAGGCAGGGGACGCCTGCGCTGGCGAATGGATCCGGCCTAAGAAAAACCAGGGATGCAATCGCGAAAAAAAAACGGGTCGGCGGTTTGTTGTGTCTTTTCACGGTTGCGCCCGGCCGCAGGGGCCATCAAAAGAATGCCCCGGGGCAAAAAAACCGGCCTCGGGGAGCTCCCGGGGCCAGCGGCGTGAAGGAGCCACACGACGTCGGAGGTCGGGGCCCGAGGTCTTGTGAAAAAAACGCGCGCGCCAGCCACCAAGGGAGGTCAATGGTAAAGCATGGTGGTAAGGAAGGGTCGCGCATGGGGTTCAGTTTTCAGTTGGCTGCATGCGGGCACAATGCGGCTACGGACGGGGCGTACTTCGCCAAAAACACAGGGCTACCTCTGGCCCGATCGTCAGAAAGGGCCGCCTCGGCGGATGATACGCGATGCCTTGTAAAGTGGGGTGGACATGGGATGAAAATTGAGGAGGCCCGCCTCTTCCTCATCTTCCTCCTGCGCCCTTCCATCCCCCCTGTGACCTTCCCTCCTCCAGAGCCCCTGAATGCCTTTGGAGTCCTTCCGAAACTTCCAGGAGCCTCCAGGAGTCCTTGAACTTCAAAGCTTCCCTCAGATGGTCTTCCCCCTCATCCTTTCTCTCATCGTCCCCCTCCTCCTCCTCCTCCTCCACCCATGCTTCCTTACAAATAGCTCCTCCCTGTCACACCCCCAGACGTGTCCGTAAGGCGGACTGGGCGTTCACATCAGATTTATTCACCACCTATGACCATCAATCTTGAAAGTCCGAACAGCTTTAAGTATGGTGGGGGGGGTCGTTTTCAAAATGTCGTTCTCGCTTTAACGCCGTGCACGGTCGTTGTCAAAGTTTGCAGCAGTTTAAAGGGATGGGGAGGGCCGTTTTCAAAATGTGGCTCTTGCTTTGGTGCCGCGCACATTCGTCTTAAAAGTTGGCAACAGCTTCGAGCATGGAGGGCTGGTCCTATGCAAAATGTGGTTCTCGTCTTTGCGCAGCGCACATTCGT